TTAGACAAAGGATTGGCAGGAGGGTTGAGAATGAGAGTCTATGAGCTAGGAGCTGAGGCAACACCAGAGGAGGTGTTCGAGTTGACGGAGAGGGTGGAGCTGGTGCAGAGGAAGTACGAGGTATACCTGCCGAGGACGATAGAGAAGAAGAGTCCGACATGGGCAGCGGTGATGATAACAGGGGAGAAAGCAGGAGAAGAGAGCAGGCCGGAGAAAAGGACAGAGACATGCACCTGTTACCGATGCGGGCAGCCGGGGCACATAAGGGTCCACTGCAAGAATTGCGATGTATGTAGGAAGCCGGGGCACCGCCGAAGGGACTACCTAGAGGCACCGACATGTAAGGAGTGCGGAGAAAGGGGGCATGAGGCAAGGGAATGCGATAAAGGGACAGGAAAAAAAAAAGGATCACCAGAGGAGATCGAGAGCCAGATAAGGAAGTTGCAGGCGCAGTTGCAGGCCTTGGGAGGGAGGAAGGAGAAGGAGGCTGGGTTGTACGCGAAGGAAGAAGAAGTAGAAGAGGAGGAGGGGCAGGAGCCAGAATACACATTCGTGGCGTTACGTAGCCATGAGGAACTGAGTCTGCGCAGTGGGGGCAGAGATGGAGAAAAAGGGCGGGCGCTGAGATGAAGAACAGACAGGCAGGTAGGGTTGTATGCAAGGGAGGAAGAGGAGGAGGAGGAAGGGGGCCAGGAGCCAGAATATCCTGTGCGGTGCTGCGTAGCAGTGAAGCCATGGGGCTGCGCAGTGGGGGTAGAGACGGAGGAGGGGAGCGGGCAACGAAGGTGAGAGTATGGGCAGTGACAGAAAGGGAAGAGAAGGATGAGAATGTGGGGGCATGGGCAGTGACAGAAATGGAAGAGAAGGACGAGAAGGTGGGGGCATGGGCAATGGTAGAAGGGGGAGAGAAGGACGAGAAGGTGGGGGCATGGGCAGCGGCAGAAGGGGGAGTGAAGGACGAGAAGGTGGGGGCATGGGCAGCGGCAGAAGGGGGAGAGAAGGACGAGAAGGAGGAAGCGGGGGTGTGTGAACCAGTAGCAGCAGGCACGGGAGAAAAGGACGAGAAGCGGGGGGCATGGGCGTGTGTACCAGCAGCGGTGGAAGCAGAAGAGGAGGACGAGCAGGTGGGAACTGGAGCATGTGCACCAGCAGTAGCGGAGGCAGAGGAGAAGGACGAACAGGTGGGGGCAGGAGCGTGTGTACCAGCGGCAGCGCAGGTAGAGGAGAAGGACGAACAGGTGAGGGCAGGAGCGTGTGTACCAGCAGCAGCGGAAGTGGTAGGTAAGGACGAAAAGGTTGGGGCAGGGGCAGGCTGGCCAGCAAAGGAAGAAGTCAAGTGGGTGAAGGGTGAGGCAATGAGTGAAAAGGGGAGGGAGGTCACACTTGCGACAAGGAAAGTGGGGATAGCAGGGGCTGAGAACGGCGTGGCTCTGGTCGAAGCCAGGGCAAAGTACCTGAGGGAAATGCTGCTGGCAGCCGTGGAGAACGTGCTTACAGTGCAGTTGAGAGATGGACACAATCCGAGCAGCGGCCGCAACAGGGCGAAAAAAGGGGCAAAGGCAGAAGTGGAAGCGGGACAGGAAGTCCACCTGCAGAGGAGGAAGAAGGATACTTTGGGAATAGCGTAAGGAACGCAGGGAGGGAAGGCGACGGATCTGGGTGGGGGTCCAGGAGGGCTGGGGCTGGAGATTACGAGAGGAGAGAAGGTAGGGAACCACCTGACGGATACTGCAGTGGTGAAAGCAACTGGCCTCAGCGAGAGTGTCCAGAGACATGTGTACGGGAGACCCGAGCACGAGCTCTGTGTTGAGATAAGCGGTAGTCTTAGGAGCCATAGCTAGGAGAGTCCTAGCTAGGCAAGAGAGTTTAGGCGAAAGAGAGGGGTTGCACTAGCAAGAATGGGGATACAAATAGCAAACCCTAGAAGGGTTGTACTCGCTACAGAGCACCCCACTACAGGCTAGAGCATAATATTCTGACACACCCCCATAGCCAAAGTGGGGTGTAATCAGCAGAGCAAGCAAAGCAGTACAAGCTCAGGGTGGATCACAATGTCACCACACATTCTGAGCACAAGTTTAAGAAGCAATAGTTTAAAGTTCACAATTATGAGCAAAGCTAGTGGTAGTCACAACGGGGAAGTGAGGAGGAGGAGGGCTGGCGAGAGGAGAGTAGATGGGAGGCGACGACTGAAGCTGCAGTCACACGGGCAACAGACGGCTCTGGTGCGACACAGTGGCTACCGGGAGTGAGTGCCCCGGAGTACAGGAGTAACAGGCTCCGCGGCTAAGACGAGCAGCAGGAGCAACGGACCCACAGGCGACGGCGCAACCGGCTCTCTGAGCTACCGGGAGTGAGTGCCCCGGAGTACAGGCGCTGCGTACGACACGACGGCAACCTCCCCTCAACCTCCCCCAACAGTCCCACATCCCTCGACACACACCCGCTGCTACACCGCTAGCTCCACTCCCCCTTCACCCCCCCTTAGTACCACTCCGACGGCTCCAACAGGTCCACCCCCCTCAGCGGCAGCTGCAGCACAGGGAGACGGAGGAGGAGGAGGAGCAGGGAACGGCACACAGAAGCTGCACCCCCATACCCCCCAACCCCAAACCCTAATCCAGGAGAACGGGCAGAAGGAGGGGTGGGGCGCCTTCAGAAGCACGGGGGACAGCGGGGAGGACAGGGGCAGCGAAGAACGGGGCGCCCACGGGCCTGGCACAGCCTCCCGAACCGCGCGCAGGCGGTCCGAGCCGCGCGCGGGACTGGCGCAGCCCGTACGGGCCGCGCGCGTGCCTGGCGCAGCCCGTACGGGCCGCGCGCGGGCCTGGCGCAGCCCGTACGGGCCGCGCGCCGGGTGTACGGGCCGCGCGCAGGCCACGACGGGCGACGGGGGGCGACGCGCGGGTCCCCGTCGCCCGTCGCAGCGCCTCCCGGGGGCGACGTGCCGAGTGACGGGGCAGGAACCCGTCGCGCGCCTCGGGGCACACGGCGGGCAGAGAACCGCCGCGCGCCTCGGGGCGCACGGCGGGCAGAAAACCGCCGCGCGCCTCGGGGCGCACGGCGGGCTGAAAACCCTAGTTTCGACGCCGCGCACCACGGGGCGCGCGGCGGACAGGGAGTAGCAGTAGCAGCGGAAGCAGTGAAGTGGGCCCACAGGCCAGGAACGTTAAGCTCTGATACCATGTTGAGATAAGCGGTAGTCTTAGGAGCCATAGCTAGGAGAGTCCTAGCTAGGCAAGAGAGTTTAGGCGAAAGAGAGGGGTTGCACTAGCAAGAATGGGGATACAAATAGCAAACCCTAGAAGGGTTGTACTCGCTACAGAGCACCCCACTACAGGCTAGAGCATAATATTCTGACACTCTGGAGGGGGCAGGTAGTGACTAAGGCAGAGAAGGGAAGGTAAGACAGGAAAAGAGCACGGGAAGAGGAAGGGATGGTAAGTACAGGAAGGAGAGGGGAAGCCATGAGATGCCGAAGGAGAGGGAAGAGGGGTTTTCCGACACCACCAAACAGGACAGCTATGTAACTACACTACAGCTAGAACTACATGCACTTATACAGAAATATATATATAACATATTCTGACACACCCCCTAAGTGCATGCAGAAATAGCCATGTTCAGAACACCCCCTGAAGTGGTACACCCAGCAGGGGGCAGCAGAAGAAGAGGGCAAGTGAGGAGGAGGAGGGACTGTGAGAGGAGAGGAGATAGGAGGCGGCAGCTGAAGCTGCTGGCACACGGGCGACTGGAGCAACTGGCACACAGGCTACTGGTGCAAGGGCATCCGGACTACTGGAGTAACTGGCTCCGCGGCTAGACGAGCGGCTGGAGCAACTGACCCACGGGCGACTGGAGCAACGGGCTCACGGGCTACCGGAGCAAGGGCATCCGGACTACTGGAGCTGCTGGCTTCATGGCGGCTACCTCCTTTCAACCTCCCCCCATTGTCCCACACCCCCTTTCCACAACCCCTTCTGCATCCCTACCGCCACTCCCTCGTCTTACACACACCCTCCCCCCTTCAACGGCAGCTGCAGCAGTGGAAGAGAGAGGAGGAGGAGCAGCAGATTTCTCACACCCGCCACCCCCATACCCTCCCCCCCACTGCTGCACGCGCAGCAGGGGGATGGAGGAGAAGGGGGGGTGGGGTAGGAGCTGCGCGGGCGACAGCAGGGGCAGTGCAGGTGCGCGTGCGGCAGGGCAGGTGCGCGCGGGCCTGGCACGGGCTGTACGGGCCGCGCGAGGGCCTGGCGTGGGCTGTACGGGTCGCGCGCGGGCCTGGCGCGGGCTGTACGGGCCGCGCGCAAGGGGGTGTTGAGAGTATAGTCCAAGGTAAAAGGGGGGTTCACTATGGAATGGCAAGTACAAATAGATGAGAAACATGCAAGGAGTGGTGCACTACCAAACAGGACAGCTATGTAGCTAAACTACAACTAGAACTACATGTACTTATACAGAAATGTATATAAAACATATTCTGACAATACGGTATTTCATTTTAAAAAAAGAAAAATAGGTTACTGTCAAAATTGCTCTTTGGTTCTCGTGACAGTACTGCAGAACACAGGAAAATGTAGGCGCAGGATGGTGGTCGGGTGTCGCAAGTTTGAACTTACGGGACACGAAAAAAATGTCCAAAGTTCTCACAGTACTGGGCAGAATGCAGTCCTTGTCGATCTGTACCCTAGAGGTTGTGAGAAAACATTTACCTGATTGTACACTGTAACACTTGTCACTATGAAGAAAAGCAACACCATAAGTATTATACATAGGTAGTTCATAGCTTTACAAGTATAGACCACACTTTGTCACTGAATTAGAATGGCATGTACCGTATGTACACACATTTATAGCTATACCTTACCACGTATGAGAGTAATCTCTGGTAGCAGTCTCCAAAATAGCTTACTACGTGCACCGGAGTGAAACAACAAAGCACTAACCATGTACCGTATAACGCTTAAAATAGCCAGACAACACCACCAAACCATCTCCTACAATTTTATACCAACCCGTTCGGCCCAGTGCAATATATCCGAATAAATCTGATCCCCGCCAATCTCTGCACCCGTGGCACCAGCAGCAACCCGCAAAATATCCTCAATGAGCGCAAAGTTACCCATGATGTCCACGTGACTGCCGCTCTGCGTGCTCCTGCCTGCCAGCAGCCCCGAGGTGGGGCGGTGCTCGTACTCCCTCAGGAAGGTGGGCGACGCGGCGGGGTTGAATCGCGTGCGGCCGCGCCACAGCTTGGCGCACGGCAGCCCCATGGAGAGCACGGGCGCTGTCTCGTCGCCGTCTGTGAAATATGCCCCCTCCGTCAGACAGTCCCCCGCCTGAAGGGTGGGAGGGAGGGAGGAAGTAGGGAGGGGTTCGGAGGCAGGAGGGGTTCGGAGGCAGGAGGCGGCAAGCGGGAAGGGGTGGGTGGGTCATGTAGGAAAGTTAAGGTTGTTGAAATGCTGAAAGGGAAGTGAGGGGCAGCAGAGTGGGCGTTTTATTTGTGCGGCCGCGCCACAGATTGGCGCAGGGCAGCCCCATAGAGAGCACACCGTCTGTGAAAGATGCCCCCTCTGTCAGACAGTCCCCCGCCTGATGAAAGGTGGGGAGATGGGGAGGTGAAGTGGGGAGGCGGAAAAATGCACCGAACCACACGCCACGTACTCATAAAATGGTCATGCCCCAGATTCCTACCCACCAAGTGCCACCCACCTGCCCCACGTGCCACTCACCTGCCCCACGTGCCACCCACCTGTCCCCACATACCATCTACCTCGGCCACATGTCAGTAGAACTGCACTGTGAGATCCCAGATTGATTTTAAATGGGTTACATGCATACTCATTTGTAGGTTTATGGACGCACAGACCCGCTACGCAAACAAGATCTTGAAATCCTGTGCTTTAGTGGCTGGAATTTTGACACGGTATCAGAGCGGTCTCTGGTTCGAATCCCGGTGTATGCATATGCAGGCCGTTGTCGCTGTGCCGAGTCATGGGCCTCCCAGTGTTTGTTGTGAGATCCCCAAATGATCCTAGGGGGGTTACAGGCGCAATCGCCTGAGGGTTATAAGCGCATGGACCCACAAAACAAACAAGTTGTTTTATCTCAGTGGTCTAGTGGCTAGGAATCTGACACCACATACCATCACTCTGGGCCACATACCATCTACCTGGGCCACATACCATCACTCTGGGCCACATACCATCTACCTGGGCCACATACCATCTACCTGGGCCACATACCATCTACCTGGGCCACATCCATCTACCTGGGCCACATCCCATCTACCTGGGCCACATCCCATCTACCTGGGCCACATCCCATCTACCTGGGCCACATCCATCTACCTGGGCCACATACCATCTACCTGGGCCACATACCATCTACCTGGGCCACATCCATCTACCTGGGCCACATACCATCTACCTGGGCCACATACCATCTACCTGGGCCACATACCATCTACCTGGGCCACATACCATCTACCTGGGCCACATCCCATCTACCTGGGCCACATCCATCTACCTGGGCCACATACCATCTACCTGGGCCACATACCATCTACCTGGGCCACATACCGTCTACCTGGGCCACATCCATCTACCTGGGCCACATACCATCTACCTGGGCCACATCCATCTACCTGGGCCACATCCATCTACCTGGGCCACATACCATCTACCTGGGCCACATACCATCTACCTGGGCCACATACCGTCTACCTGGGCCACATCCATCTACCTGGGCCACATCCATCTACCTGGGCCACATCCATCTACCTGGGCTACATACCATCTACCTGGGCCACATACCATCTACCTGGGCCACATACCATCTACCTGGGCCACATACCATCTACCTGGCCACATGCCACCCACCTGCCCTTGATGCCCATTGCCAGACACATTAATGCGGAAGGGGATGAAGCAGGTGTGATTGGATGGGGAGATGAAATGTCATCTACCCACATACCACCCACCTGCCCCACATGCCACACACATGCCCCACATTGCTTTGCACTTACCTGTCCATCTACCCACCTGGCCAGGAGGCCCATTGGCAGAGGCGTCGATGCGGAAGGGGATAAGGCACGTGTCGTTGGAGGGCGAGAGGCGGTACACGTACGCCCTCTCTGTCAGCAGCCCCGTGCCATAGGCGCAGTACACCTCCATCTCAGGGGCGTCGGGCAGGCTGGTGTGGGGAAGAGCGGGGAGGCAGGGGTTGCACATGGAGGGGGGTTTGTGGATGAGGCAGGAGGGAACGGATGAGGTCGTACACGCACCGAGTCTCTAGTGGGTTCGCCCAGCACTTGGTCTCCTCTGCGCCCGCACAAATGCTCGAATGCTCAGCACCCTTGTCTCAAATCCTCCCACGCACACGCATGCTCTCTCCTCTTCTGTGCACCCAATGCACCTCAATCACTCCCCCCACACACACCTGGTTTCCAAAGGGTTCGCCCAGTACTTGGGCTCCTCAGCATACTTCCTCTCGCTCAAATCCTCTCTGTAATCTGCCCTGATCCCCCACGCAAAACTGCTCTCACCTCTTCTCTTGCCTCATCCTATCCCCAACATGCACCTGGTCTCCAAAGGGTTCGCCCAGTATTTCGGATCCTCCGCATACTTGCTCTCACTCAAGTCCTCCGCGATCCCATAGCTCCAGTTCTCATCCGCTCTTGCCATGGTCTTGGGCGCCACCTGTCTCAGCAGCCCCAGAATGCCCCCGGAAGGCCCGTCGCTCTCGTCCCCTGCGGTGTAAAAAGGGCAGTTGGCGATGTCTTTCAGAGCGTGCCAGCTCATGTCGTGGTATTCCGTCCACACGTCGCCGCACGACTTGTTGCGCGAGTGCAGGTGCTGAAACACTGTTTCCTCCAGCTGCCTCTGCCACTGCTTGCGCCGACTCTCCCTCACAGGCGCTTTCTCTTCCTTCCCTTCTGACTCGTCCTTCTCCCCTCCAAAACTCGCCCCTCCCTTCCCCTCCGGCCCCTTATAAGCAGCCTCGTCACTGTACTCGTCATCGCCCTCTGGCAGTAAGTCCCGCATGGCACAGCTACAGGGGTCTGAGAGAACATACTGCTGCCCGCCCCACGTGGCTGAGCACGTGGAGGCAACAGGGCACGTGGCTGCTGCTGCCCTGGCTGCTGCCTTGGCTTCTGAGGGGCACACAAGAGACTCTGAGAGTGTGGCTGATGCTGCTCCGAAGGACACCTGGAAAATGGAGATGAAGAGAGAAAAATTGGGGAGACAAAGGGTGTGGCTGCCCAAATTTTAAAGATCCTAAAGAGTTAAACAATACCAACTACGCAGGAAAACATAAACAATGAGCTAAGAGAACTTGGCTCACCATGCGTCCAAACCACGCACGCCGGTCGCTTGTCTCAAGGTCATAGCTCCTAGTGGATGCCTTTGCCTCATCGTCCTCTCCCTCACCCTCAACCCCACCCTCCTCACTGCCCACGCCATCGCCAGGTCCCTTCGAGTGAGTGCCAGTAGCCGAGGAGGAGGAAACGGGGGAGGCCGAGGACGAGGCCCCCTCAGCCATCAGAGTGCGTAAAAACCCCTCCACTCCCAACCCCCTGCCATCCCCCCCTGCCTTGGAGCTATTTCCACTCTCCCCTGCCTGCTGCAGCTGCAGCTGCTTCGCGCGCGCCTTGGAGCAGTTGAAGGAGTCCTCAGGAGCCCACGTGGCGTTGCCCCACACGACTTCGCCACCCTTGGGCAGCATGCTCATGGTGGAGTCCCATGTGCGGGAAACCCGCATCACATGCTGCAGTGCCTGCAAGCTCTCAAACACCCCCGGATCGAGCGCCCTGGTTATAAGGGGAAGGAGAATGGGGTGAAAGCGGGTGCAGAAGCGCGCAATGAGGGGTGAAAGTGGTTGCAGAACAATCGCAATGGGATGGTGCGAGGGCAGGTTAGCAAGTGGATAGTTCCCAATAGCAAAGCTGAATCAGAGAAGCCAGTGGTCCAAGAAGCCAGTGGTCCTAGAAGCTAGTGAGAGTGATTCAAGGATGCGGACAACTGCCTTTGCAGATTTTTTTTTACAACGAGCAGAGGCTGAAACACCACCAGCAGTTTCGAAAACTGCCTTCTGCTGACCCTCTTGCTGCAGCTTCTTTCCCCGCTATTTCTTCCCTTTCTGTTTCTTGAATGTTTGTTTTGTGACCTTTTCATCTCCTCCCTGCAGTTTCATGCCACCCTCCTGCTGCTCACCCTCCTGCTGCTCACCCTCCTGCTGCTCACCCTCCTGCTGCTCACCCTCCTGCTGCTCACCCTCCTGCTGCTCACCCTCCTGCTGCTCACCCTCCTGCTGCTCACCCTCCTGCTGCTCACCCTCCTGCTGCTCACCCTCCTGCTGCTCACCCTCCTGCTGCTCACCCTCCTGCTGCTCACCCTCCTGCTGCTCACCCTCCTGCTGCTCACCCTCCTGCTGCTCACCCTCCTGCTGCTCACCCTCCTGCTGCTCCTAATGCGACGACTCTTGCTGCTCCAGCAGTTGCAATGGTTTTTGTGGCAGCTGCTCGATCAATTATTGAAACTGCTGCTGTCATTACAGTTGTACTCGCCGTAAAAAACATCTGCAAAGACTGTTATCCACACCCCTAAACGACTCTCAGAGGCTTCCGGAACCATTGACTTCTCTGATTCGGCTTTGCTACTAATCAGTTGACATTGTTCCGCCCACCATCACTTATTTTTACTGACAAATCTTCTCACCTGATAGCCGCCACGTCCTTGGCCTCTGCTGAAAACAGCCCAGTGAACGCCTTGGGTGCGCCCAGGAGTGGCCCTCCGATGTTGAAGACGGCCCTGATGTGATCATGCACCCACCGCGGGCCCCCTCCTCCTCCCAGGGGCGCTGGTGCTTCGACCCACTTCATGAAGAAGAGGAAATAGAGCACTCCCATGGAGTGCGGCACCACCACGGCTTTCTTGCCCCCGTTGGTCTGCAGATGATGAGAGAGTGTGGGAGGAGAAGAGGGGAACATGACGAAATAGGAGAAAGAAGGAGAGGAGGTAGAGCATGCCCATGGAGTGAGGCAGTATCACCGCCTTCCTTCCCTCCATGGTCTGCAAGGGGGGGTACGGCATGTGCGGGGAAAAGGAGATGCGGCAAGGGGTGAGAAGACGAACACCCACTCTCATGGAGAAGAGCACCCGCCGCCCCCTCCCAGTGACGCACCCTCATGCCACACCAAATGCCACATGCGCACCTGCACAAGCATCTCGATGGTAAAACCTTGAAGGGCGAGGCACCTTCATGGCACACCAAATGCCATGCTACACACGGCACACCATATGGCACACCACATGGCACGAGCATACATGCACGAGCATACCTGCACGAGCATACCTGCACGAGCATACCTGCACGAGCATGCTTGCACAGGCATACCTGCACAAGCATACCTGCACGAGAATTTCAATAGTGGCCTTGAGGCGACTCAGCGTTTGATCCCTCTTCTGCACATGGTTACACGGAGGGGCAAGGTGGGAGGGGGATATGCAGGTCAGGTTTACTGTGCATGGTTGCATGGAGTGAGTGATGGACACGCAGTTAAGCCACAAAGAGAGAAGACGCAAGCGTGGAGAGAAAGATGGCACACACACACACTCGCACACCCACACACACCCTCCCCTCCCCCCCGACCACACGCACTCACACACCCATTGTGCTCCCACCTGCGTGTTATAGAAGGAGAGGCGCCAGTCATAAGCGGCCATGAACATGTTTCTCTCCTCGTAACCGATCTTGGCCAGCTGCTCGATGATCACCGCCCACACAAAGTAGCATCCCCCTCCACTCAAGCCTTCACGCCCCACCCCCCAACACACACACAGTGCGTTCCCACCTGTGTGTTGTAAAATGACAGGCGCCAGTCATAGGCGGCCATGAACATGTTTCTCTCCTCGTAACCGATCTTGGCCAGCTGCTCGATGATCACCGCCCACACAAAGTACCCGGGTAAGAAATAATCAGCTGCCACCAGCCCTGACACCGGTCGCACACGAATGCCTGGAGGGTCCAGGCCTGTCTCATTGTCCAGCAACATGTGCTCCATCCAACACCCGGGCCTGGGAAAAGTGGGGGGAAGGATGTGGTGGTGGGGCAGAAGGGTTGGGGGCATGTGGGGAGGAAAAGAGAGAGGATCAAGACTCGATGATGACCACCCACACAAAGTAGCCGGGTAAGAAGTAATCCGCTGCCACCACCCCGGAGACTGGGCGCACCCTGATTCCGGGGGGTCCCAGGCCTGTCTCGTTGTCTAATAGCATGTGCTCCATCCAACAGCCAGGCCTGGGGGTGTTATTGGGGGTGAGGGGTCAGCGAGTGGGTGGGTAAAGGTGGGTGAGGAGGGATAGAGTGAACAAGGCTCGATGATGACCGCCCACACAAAGTACCCGGGTAAGAAATAGTCCGCCGCACCAGCCCTGACACGGAGAGCATGCGAATGCCTGGCAGGTTCAGGCCTGTCTCGTTGTCCAGCAACATGTGCTCCATCCAACAGCCGGGCCTGGGGGTGTTTTCAGGGTTGGGGGGGCGGCAGGTGGAGGGTGGGGTTGGGTGGGGAGGAAAAGAGTGAGGAAAGGCTCAATGATGACTGCTTACACAAAGTCCCCCGGCAGGACGACTTCTGAGTCGATTCAAAAGTCACCCCGGCAGGAAGTAATCCGCTGCTACCAGCCCTGACACTGGCCGCACCCTGATTCCGGGAGGGTCTAACCCTGTCTCGTTGTCCAGCAACATGTGCTCCATCCAACAGCCGGGCCTGGGGCGGGAGATTTAAGGGGCGAGGGGTAAGGGGGAGGCAGAGGGGAAAGGGGAAGGAGGGTGGGATTGAAGGGAGGTTCGATGATGACCGGCCACACAGAAGTATGTGGGTAGGAAGTAATCGGTTGCTACAAGGCCTGACGCAGGGCGCACATCTACTCAGGAGGTCCGACCTGCCTCGTTGACAGGCCTGTCTCGTTGTCTAACGCCTTGTGCTCCATCCAATAGCCAGGCCTGGGGGTAGGCGAATGAAAGGAAACTGTGTAGAAGTCAACAACTGTGTGGCCACAAATATCACGCCTCCCCCTCCTCAACCCCTCTCCTCTTCAACACCCACACCCTCTTCAACACCCAGAAAAACACTCACATCACACCCTCCTCAACACACCACATTCTCCCAGTGAGTGGCCCCACGCACCTTCGGTAAGCATCCCCGAAGGTTCCTCCCCACAGCCTCTTCCTGAAGAGGTCCGCTGCACACGGCCGCCCCTCCCACAGCTCCAACCCGCCTGGAAGAGGGGGGGGGGGGGAAGGGAGGGAGGGGAGACGAGGGGAGGAAGCAGCATTTTCACAGGGGTTCAGGACCAAGCAACACGACACCTCACAGGGGTGTTCACATCACAGCGGTGTTCACTCCCCACGGCCTCTTCCTGAAGAGGTCCGCTGCACACGGCCGCCCCTCCCACAGCTCCAACCCGCCTGGGAGGGGGGAGGAAGGGGAGACGAGGGGATGGAACAACATTTTTACAAGGGTTCAAAACCAAGCAACAAGACATCTCACAGTAATAATCACTCCTCCCCACAGCCTCTTCCTGAATAGATCCGCTGCACACGGCCGCCCCTCCCACAGCTCCAACCCGCCTGAGGGGAGGGAGGGAGGGGAGACGAAGAGAAGGAACAACATTTTCAAAAGGATTCAGAACCAAGCAACACAACATCTCACAGTGGCATTCAGTCCTTCCTACAACCTCTTCCTAAAGAGGTCCGCTGCACACGGCCGCCCCTCCCACAGCTCCAGCCCGCCTGGGGGGAGGAAGGGAGGGGAGATGAGGGGATGGAACAACATTTTTACAAGGGTTCAAAACCAAGCAACACAACACCTCACAGGGGTGTTGACATCACAGTGGTATTCAAACCTCCCCACAGCCTCTTCCTGAACAGGTCCATCGCACACGGCCAGCCCCCCCTCCCACAGCTCCAACCCGCCTGGTGGGGGGGGAGGGGAGGGAGGCGGGTGGGGGAGAGAGGGGAGGGGAGTAAGGAGGATTGGGAATCAGCTGATTATATCAGCCGCACACGGCCAGCCCCCCCTCCCACAGCTCCAACCCGCCTGGGAGGGGCAGGGAGGGGAGAGAGGGGGAAGGGGGGATGGAGCAGGAGGGAGGGGCGGGAGGCGGAGTTGGGATATCATGTATAAGGTAACTAGTTAATCAGGTCCTGCACACGGCCGCCCCTCCCACAGCTGAAGCCCACCTGGGAAGGGAAGAGGGGAGGAAGGGGATTGGGGAAGATGGGGATGAGGGAGGGAAGTGAGGCGGATAGGGATATCACCATTCCGATAACTCAATGGTTGGGCATCACCCACACGGCCGCCCCTCCCACAACCATCAGAGCAGCGACATACCACCATCAGAGGGGAGAGGAAAGAGGGGACGCAAAGGGGGAAAGGGAAAGGGGGGAAAGGGGAGTGAGGGTGGAGGGGGGGGAGGGGGGGAGGGGAGGAACCGGGCCGGGGCAAATGGGGGAATGAGGGAAAGGTGAGGAAGGGGGGAAGGGGGGGAAGGGGGGGAAAGGGGATGAAGGGGGGGAAGGGTGGGAAAGGGGGCAAGGGAAGGGGGGAAAGGGGGGGAATGAGGGATAAGGGGAAGGGGAGGAGAGGGGGGAAAGGCTGAGATACCGTTAGTGAAAGGGCGCGAGGGAGCGCGGTTCCAACCTTTTAAAAGTGTCTACACCGAGTTGTGACTATACACACCTGTGACTATCCCCGGAACGAACACCACGGGGTGCTTCGCCTTCACGCCTTCCCCCGCCAGTCGCGCGCCGGGCGGCTCCACCTCGGGGAGCCCCACGAGCGCGTCCTGGATCGCCTGGATCTGCTGACGTGGCATGAGGTGATAGGCGAGCATGAGCAGGAACCAGAGGAAGACCGCGTTGCCCATGGTCCAGCAGCACGAGTCGATGCACCCCCACCGCCCCCCTCTCCTGCTCTCGCTCCTCTCGATTTTCCCGCTCTTTTCCCCGCCCTTCTCGCCCTTGTCGGCTTTCTCTCCGCCTTTTCTGTCCGCTCCCCGTTGTTGCTGTTGCTGCTGCTCCTGGCGGCGCTGCTGCTGCGACGGCTGCTGCGACGATTGCTGCGACGGTCTGCCTATCTGTCGCCGTCGCAGGCCGCCATCCGAGCCGGCGACAGCGGCGGGCGCGATCCTGGGAGTCGCGGTGGTCTGCTCGCGAAGAATTCCGTCGAAGCTCCTGCGACGCCTGGGAGCGTGCGAAGACTGGCCCCTGCCGTCCATGTTCGCCGTGCGAAGATTATCGAAGCGGCGCTACGGAGTTCAAGCGAACACCTCGAACTTTTTGGTTCGCCAGGAGTTACGGACAGGAAATACACTTGTCTGCGGCTTGGAATTTCACGACCGAAATCCACGGCCTTCTACCCAGCTCTCGCGTAGGATCAGAGAGGGCGAACTAAGTCGTAGGCGCCTTCGTAGATTTTGGTTTTGCTCTTCTTTATCTTCAACGCATAGTTCGGCTGTGCGAGCATGGCGATCTGACGAGAATATGCAACAAGCTGCTTGAGCGAATTGAGTTCGTCGAAGGGAGGGACGATATCGAGGGTGCTGCCATGGTCTTTGGAATGGGGTTCAGCCTTCACACGTGATATCTACCGCCAATCGGACGTTGTAACGAATTCTTGCGAAGCGGAAACGTACACTCGTCATCTCGTCAACTCAGCCGATCTTTGAGCGGGTGAAGCAAGGTGGTGCACTGCGAAGAATATCTGCGAAAGAAAGTGACAAACCCGTACCAGCTTGGCTTGGGACACGGGCTGAACCAGGCTCGGGGGACGCTGTTGTTTGTGGTGGAGACCGAAGGGTGTTCGTGATCTCCTGGGTCCACCAATCCAAGGTATGGACGAACCACTCTTATTGGCTCCAGGTGTCTTCTCCCCTCGGTTCTACTGTACAAGAACCTCCCAGATTCCAGGAATTGCCGAAATTCACGCAACTCGATTCAGCCGACTGTTCGCGAAACGCATGTATCAGGGAGAGCTGATGAAGTGAGCTGAAATGAATCAGTCACACGTGAGAGAGTAACGAGGTGGAAGTGGAAGAAACGGGGCGAGCTGAGAGTAGAGAGCAGAGGGCAGGGAGCAGTCGACACACACAGAGAGGAATCCACAGGCACAGCGCCAAGACAGAAGCCACCATTTTCAACAGCTGCGAGTTTCGGATTTTGACGATTTTCCAATGTAGGCAGGAGCGGACTTTCAGAAAACCTGAAAGCAGAGTCATCATAACGAGTTTGCACATCAACAACCTTCCCGACGAGCTGCTCGTTGCGATATTCTGGCCCTCTAAGTATCTCTTCTCCCGTCAGTCCGACGATGACAATGTGTGGGAGTCCATGTGGCCAACCCCGCGGTTTATTCGCGAAAATGCCGACGAGCCATCGTACCAGCAGACCGAGCCTTTGTTTCCGAACCCGACTCTACCTCCAGCTTTCGCCGACGCCGCGTATAACCTCCTCATCGCGTCAGTCTGCCGTCGCTGGCGTCGCGTAGCTCAGCGCCACGTCACCACGCTTCTTGTCAAAGAAAGACGCGACGTTTCTCGCGAGGATCTTTCCGCCGCTCTCAACCGCTTCCCAAACCTCACACACCTGCACCTCAACGACAGCAGCCTGGAGACCATCGACGACGCCTTTCTCGCTCGCCTCGCGGCGTCGTGCCCTAATCTGACGGCTTTCCACCTCGGGGAAGGGATAGAGCAGAACCTGGACGAGGAGCAGGAGGAGGAGGGGCAGAGGTTGCTGACTGGAGCTGGCTTGGATGCTTTCTTCCGCGGGTGCACGCGGCTGGAGCATCTATCTTTGTGCTGCCTCTCCAGCTGTCTCGTGCTGCCACCTTCCTTCTTTCAGCTCGCGCACCTCCGCTCGCTCGCGACCGCCGATCGGTCGGCGTTGTCGGCTCCCGGACTCACGAATCTGTCTTCTCTCACCGCTCTCTCGCTTAACGCGGCGATCTGGTTTCAGGATCTGCATATCCTTGCTTCGCTCCCAAGCCTCACCCATCTCTCCGTGTCGGAAAGGATCTCTCAATTTCAACCAAGGCCGCTGCCTTCGCGTCCCTTCTCGTTCGCGCATCTGCCGTCGCTCAAGTCGTTGGATCTGGGTAGCAGCTGTCCAGCGTTCGACGTCATGTTCCCCTCAGAATGCCGTGCAGCCGCTTGGAACGCCTCACGCTCAGCCAGTGCAATGACCTCGCCTCGCTCCCCAACGATCTTGAAGACCGCTTGCCTTGTCTCCGCGAGCTGACCATCAGCGGATGCAGATCGTTCTTCGAGCAACCGGAGCAGCTCACCTCCCTGACCAACCTGCGCAGCCTGAAGCTCTCCGACTGCGGTTTCGCCGGTCTGCCCCACGATTTCGGCGAGCTGCCCGCGCTGAAGACGCTCGTGCTGCACGAACTCAATGTCAACCTCCCTGCCTCGTGCAGCCGGCTCAAGACTCTAGAGACGCTGCTAGTCTCAGACTGCGCACACCTGCGCGAGTTACCAGAGGGGTTCGGTGCTCTCACTGCGCTCAAAACCCTAGGCCTTGCCGGCTCACCTTCTCTGATCCTGCCTGATGACATTGGACAACTCACCAACCTGCAGACTCTCTTCCTGAGGTCGTACCAGCAGCATCATCTCCTTCCCTCCTCCTTCACCCACCTAGCGTCACTGACAAGGCTTGAGCTGCAGGACTGCGCGTTGGCGGAGCTCCCAGAGGCGATGGGGGAGCTGAGGTGCCTGCGGGAGCTCTACGTCCAATCCTGCTCGCACCTCCAGAAGCTTCCAGACTCCGTTTCAGCCCTGCTGGGCCTCGAAATCCTCAGGTTGACAGCTGCAGCAGCCTTTTCTCGGTGCCTAGGAGTCTTGTGAACCTGACGAGGCTGAAGGAGTTGGAGCTGACCGGCTGTGGGTTGCTGAGAAAAGCTCCCGAGTTCTTGCCGGGCTCGCTGGAAGCTCTCAGCGTGGGGTGTTTGCATCAGGTCACCCGTCTGCCAGGCGCCTACAATCTTCCGTGCTTAAGGAAAGCGAATCTGTATATGGTGATCTTCCCTTCCGCACTCTCCAGGAGCCTTTCCTGTCTGGAGCACTTAAAGCTGTACTTGGCTTGGGAGGAGGAGTTCCCATTTCCGCTAACGGCCTTTCCTCACCTCCGCTCCCTGTCAATCCTAAGCACTGGAGTCATGAAGCTTCCAGAAATTTCCAGCTCGTCATTGCAGGAGTTGCGTCAACTAGCAATACTATTGCCGGAATTGACAGAACTCCCACCGACCATTGCGGCCCTGCAGAAGCTCACATACATGGAGATCAGGGCCCCCAAGCTCTCCTCACTTCCTGATTCACTCATGGCGCTCACGAGATTACGCAAGCTGATTCTGTCTGAATCCCAAGCTCTCACTCACCTCCCTGCGTCCCTCACCCATTTGTCCTGCCTCTGTGAGCTAAGGGTTCACCACGGCTCCATTACTTGTCTTCCTCCCAACTTCTCTCGCCTCAGCAGGCTGCAGGTTCTGGACTTGGAGGATTGTAAAGAGCTGGAGGCTCTGCCTGAAGATCTAGGGGAGCTGAAGCTGCTGGTGATTTTGAATGCTAGGGGTTGTGACAAGTTGCACGATGATCAAGGCCAACTTCGCCTGCCTGAGGGGTGCGATTCGTACCGTTGGAGGTTCTAGTTTTTGCTTATAGTGTTTGTATTGTATCACACAACGTAGTCATTGTGGGTTTGTGTTATTGTTGTGTTGGAAAGATATACAGGTCCTCCTCACACTTGTTGGGCAACTGCTAAAGCAAAACAAGGTACCGGTACCGATAGCACCACAACTGGTTTTACCGTGGATCTGGTCCATTCTTCATGGACGGATACACTGCCATTCATTATCAGACAGACTGGTTTTCAGTACAACACTGAACATATTCAGTTGGTTCTGGGTACAATATGCATACACGTTACACCCTTCATACAGTCAGCAGCTCTCTTGCACCCTCAGGCTGCCTTGAAACAAAGCCTCGGCATCCCTATCTTGCATATCCGATGCACACACGCCGTTGTCTTGACCTTCACCACCAGTGACATGAACTGCAGGAGCAGCTTCCCCCGAGCCACTTTCCAATCCAGCACCGGGTGCTGGTTCCGTGCCTACATCCATCTCAGTCCGGCCCACAGCTGCAGCCTCACCTGCCAGGCCAACAGCTACTGTTACCTCTGTAGCCTCTGTAACCTCTGCACCCTCTCTGGCTTTTATGCTCCCTGCACCACTCATTTCTTCCAGCTTTCCTGCATCTCCTGCTTCCGCAGCTGCAGCACCAACTGATTCAGCTGGAACCCAAGGGGCAGGCTCCGAACCAATACCAAAGCTCCGATGCTCACCTTCCCCACCATACCCTACCCCTTGACCTCCATCCTCCATCATCGTGTCTCCCACACACCCTGAGCCTCCCTCATACCCTGACCCTCCTTCATACCCCGACCCTCCCACTGGGTCCCAGTTGATGGCAAACTTTGTAACTCTGGGCTTCTCAGCCCAGATGTTGCGCGATAGCTTATCGAACACGACCTTGGGAGGGGGTTCCTGCTGCAGCTGCTCGTCCACGTACTCGTTATTGACATAGTACCCGACTTGGATAAACTTCTGCTCTCGGTACGCGCATGTGAGCAGCAAAACGGTGACTCCTAGGATCTCGCCCTCCACGATTTTGGAAACTTCGGGTGGGTCTGCCTGCAGATAAGCACGAAATGGATACGGAAGTGACAGAGCAACAAAAGCAGCATGAGTGGCTGTTAGAGGCGGTTCAAAGATCACTTCCGGAGGGTATGCCTGTGAGGAAGGCGGCTATGGATATCCAAGTGAGGTAGCAATGCATGAGTAGCTAGCACTGAGGAGCTTAAGAAACTACTTCAAGTGAGCATGAATGTAGTCAAGGAACGATGAGCATGGAACTGAGCTGGCAACGGATGACAGGGAGTCATGTAAAAGGCAAATACACTGCATATAACGAGGAGGCTTACTTCGAGGATGAACCTGAAGCTGCCGACGTTGACTGGGCCAACTAAAACGCTCTCCAGCACCTGATCATAGGCCGGGTCGTTGGCTGACCCCACATACACAATCGACCACTCCAAATCTGAAGAGACAGGGGTGTGGAAAGGGGTTGAGAACGGCAGCATGAGGTGAATCCACGGTGGTGACCATGACGCTCTTTAGCACCGGGTCGTACGCAAGGTCGTTGGCCGATCCCACATACCCGATCGACTCAGAGTTTGCCAGCCTACAGGAAGGTGGATGCGATGAGAATGCGGCAAAAACGACGCTCGAGGAATGCAACGCTTCACCAGGTCGAACATGACCGTGACGTTCTCAGGACCTGCTCGTGGTGCGCGAGCATAAAACTTGGTACGTTCGAAAGTGATTTCGAAACACAGAAAAGGGCGTGCACGCGGCGCTGCCGCATCTCCAGGCGGCTGGCGCGCAGCACACGTCGCTCCTATAAAATACCGGTCACACTTATCGATATTATTTGTTAGCACGGCTGGGCCAACACTATTCGGGATAGACAATCCAGATACAGGGACTGCAGGCACTGACGTGTTTCGAGTAAACGGCACGCAGCACTTGTTCACCCGCACGTACCGTCCTCCAACGGTCGGATGCAGTCGTAGGAGATCTCGAGGCGGAGCGGCGAGAGGAACGGCCCCGGGTTGTCGAGCACCTTCACTTGCGTGATGGTCACGGCGCTCATGCCTGCGATGCCGCACCAGCTGCCTCGACTGCGGTATACGCGCTATAGGTGCAATACGCGTTTTACGCGCTAGTGAACGCGCTATACGGCAAAGTATATTGAGCAGGAAAGTGCGTGTGTTACTGAGACCTGTGGAAACGCGTCTACGTTGCCGTATCACCAGGTTTGAAAAAAAGGCGATAGCTCAAGTCGAGGCGCTGCAGCTTGCCGGATAACGGAGAACTGAAATGGAGACGCAAGCGGCACGCAAGCGGCACAAAGCGGATTCAGACTGAGTGAGAGGCTATGACGAGCACGGAGAAGCGACAACTACTGAGGAAGCGTCAAGAGAAATGAGGTGAGGAAGGATGAATTCAAGGTGAGATGGCAAACGAAAATCAAGCAGGGAGCTCGTTTGAAATTTCAAATCGTCATACGCGCTACAGAACCGAAGCAGGAGAACGCAAGCGCTGATTGTGATTTTGGTGTCGTTCTGTATACTCAAATTTGCGAGATCTTGGGGTTGCGCAAATACGAATGTCCATCAACAGCATCACCCACACCTCCACCCAAACCTCCCCCCCTCCCACACTTGAAACCTTGGCTTTTGAGTCCTTACCCCTGCCGAATCGCCGTCTCCTAATTCTAACGAGCACCGTTCATTTCTTCTGTCGTTTACTCTCGACAGCTGCACGAGTCGCCCAGATCGCAATTTCTTGCCTGTGTGCCGCTTTTGTACACATAAATCAATAGCTGGTGGTCCTTCACATCATAAATCGAGGCACTCACAGCAGCGTGCCGTTTCCAAAAACCATTCGACAGTCACTGGAGCACCTGACAGCCACGGGAGTAGCGAGCAGCAGCCATGTTTAAAGCCTCGAGGGCGACGACGAGGAAGGGGAAGCTCGTTTTAGAATCTCGCGCGCCCAAAATAGTACGCTTCTCCTTTATTTGCCGCTCCGCATTCCGTTTTTCAAGCCGCTCGCTCATGCCGGCCCTTAGTGCCGCTCTTTGATTTATGCCATTCATTCTCTTAGGTTCTGAGTCTGATATAGTGCGCTCGCACCCGATGTTGTTTGCTTTTCGATTTTCATTCCGGCGATGCGCTTTCGCCGGACGTGATTTTCGATCACAGTCGCACGTGCGATCTGTGTGCGTCCCAGAATAAACCATGTCCCCTTTTCTCCTCCCGCTCTCGCTCTACGTCTCGTTTCCCCTCTTCCTTCCCCTCCCCGCTGCCACTCCACTTCTCTTTCCCCGTCTTCTTCCTGTTCCTTCGTCCCCCTGCCCCTCCCTCCTCCCCCTCCCTCTCCCCACTTCTCCCTTGACCAGAAAGAGAACGTCCGGCAGGCGCTGCTGCTGCGCGGAACTCGGTCCAGTGCGGTGCTGAACGGTGTGCTGTCGGACGTGCATCATTTGAAGCGGTTCAGCGGGGGCTCGTTGAAGCTCTCGCGCGCAAACGAGCACGTGCGGCCCTTCGAGGCCGGCGGCGAGGCTCCGCTGGAGCAGCTGGCGAAGAAAACAGACAGCAGCCTGTTCATGGTGGGGGGACAGGGATGAGGGTTCGGGGTTCGGGGTTTAGTGTTTCACGTCGTTTGGGTCGAATAGGTAGGCACGAACGAGAACGAGCGGCCCTTCGAGGGATGAGGGTTCGGGGTTCGGGGTTTAGTGTTTCACATCGTTTGGGTCGAATAGGTAGGCACGAACGAGAACGTGCGGCCCTTGGAGGGATGAGGGTTTGGGGTTTAACGTTCAGGACCCCAAACCCTGTAAGGCCTGGGGCCTGGGGCCTGGACCCTGTAAGCCCGAGGGTCTGGGGCCCTTACAGGGTTTGGGGCCCTTACAGGGTTTGGGGCCCTTACAGGGTTTGGGGCCCTTACAGGGTTTGGGGCCTGAGGCCTGGACCGAGGCCTGGGGTCTCGTGACTTGTCGGCGACCCCGCGTGTCTCTCTCCCTCTTTCTCCCCCACCCACTTTCCCCCCTCCCCTCCGCACCTCTCCCCCTCTCCTCCCGCTCCCCACCTCTTCCCCACTTCCAGTTCGCCTCGCATTCGAAGAAACGGCCTCATAATCTAGTCATCGGGCGAATGTACGACTACCATCTGTACGACATGCTCGAGGTGGGGGTCACACGCCACGTCAGCATCCAACAGCTCAAAGGAGGCGGCAAGCTGTCCCCGCAGGTGGGTTCCAAAGAGGGGGAAGGGGGGGCGGGGGGGGGAGAGAGGGGAGGGATGAGGGGGAGGAAAGGGAAGGGAGGGGCTCGAAGCAATTTCTCCCTGCTGGTGGGATTCCATGAGGGGGGATGCGGAAGGGGAAGAGGAGGAGGCAAGCTCCCCCCGCAGGTGGGTTTTTATGAGGGCAGGTGGGGAGAATGGGAAATAAGGAAAGGGAAAACCGAGACATCACGTCCCCCTCGCTTCTTCCTCTTCCCGTCCTCCCCCTCAGGTCGGCTCAAAGCCATGTTTCTGCTTCATTCGAACCGAGTTTGACAGCGACCCACTCCTTCATCCCTCCCCTCTTCCCTTTCCTCCGAACCCCCTCCCTATTTCTACCTCATTCAAGGTGGGCTCCAAGCCTTGCTTCTGTTTCATCGGAGCCGAGTTTGACAGCGACCCAGCAGCACTGCAGCTCAAGAGCCTGCTGCTGGATTTTTTCAGAGGAGAGGTGGGTCGGGGCAACTGGGTTGGTGGGTTTTTGGTGTCATGGTAGCAACACCAGCAATGCAGCTCAAGAGATGGCTTGGGCTTTTTCAGAGGAGAGGTTTTTAGGTGTCTTTCTGCTGCCCTCCTTGTTTCGCTGCCTGCCACTTTCCCTTTTACAGCTCTCGAGTTGTCTTGAAGTCGCTTCATTCACTTTCGCTCGTGTTTCTTGAGGCCCCTGACACATCACCCCATTTCCCAATTTCAAGTATCCACACACAACTCCCATTTCTCTTTTCCCCTGTCTGTCGACCATTCCTTCCCAACCATTCTCACATCTGTGTGCGCTTCTTCTGCCTCGCAGGTCGCGGCAACAGTGGATCTGGCGGGCCTCGACAGAGTCTTCGTGTGCGCCGCTCAAAACGGCAAGGTAGCCAACTATCTCCTGTAAAGCGAGGCAGGCAGGCAGGGACAACACAATCATTATTCTGTCTTCTTTACTCTGCATTCCTCGCTCACCCTGGCTCCCCGTTCTTTCAACCTAGAGAGTCAGTGATTGCTTAACCTCCCCCTCCTTCAAGGTCCCGCGGGTGGTGCTCGTACGAGCAAGCAATACCGAATTTCTCCCCAACTGTCCACACGCACGCCCCCCCTTGTTCCAGGTCCTATTTCGCCACTGTGCCATCCGCCTGAAGAGGTCGGGCACCAAGGTGCCGCGTGTGGTGCTCGTGCCCATCGGACCGTCCATTGACTTTGAGATCCGACGGACGAGATTGCCCGGGGAGGAGTTGAGGAAGGAGGCTATGCGGGCCGTGAAGCTTGGGCAGGAGAAGAAGGTGAGGAGGAGGGGGGGAGGAGGGGTAGTGGAGAAGGGTGAATGGGGAGTGATAAGTGGTAGAGGATGGGGTTATGGGGGCATGGGAATGGGAGGAGACGCGGCCAGTGAAGCTCGGGCAGGAGAAAAAGGTGAGAGGAGTGGGGGGGGGGGGAAGGAGGAGTAGGGATGGGATTGGGGAATTGTGGTGTGGAGTGCGGGAATGCAAATTGAGACCTCTCAACCATCCCCTCCTCCCTCCCCCTACATGCCGAAGCAGGATCTGTTTTCCTGCGTCATCTCTCGATCCCCTCCCCTCCCCCCCCCTCCCCCCCCCTTTCCCTTCGCCTCTCTCTTCCAGATCAAGAACGTGAAGTCAGACATGATCAAGGGAAAGGTCGGGCGCATCTACATGCCCAAGCAGCAGGTGGGGTCGATGTCTCTCATGAAGATGAAGGGGCTCAAGCGGGAGCGCAGGGAGGCTGCTGCTGCCAGGAAGAAGGCCAAGCAGGACGCTCCAGCTCTGTTCAAGGGGGGGGAGGGGAGAGAGGGGGGAGAGGCGGTGGATGGTGGTGCTGGCGGCGCTCGGGAATAGTAGTGTGTCGGGGTTTGAGACGCCTGGCAGCTGTTCTTTGTTGTGGTGTCTTTGGCTCGTTGCACGTGGTGTGGGTGTGTGGGGTGCTGGTGGTGAGGTGGTGATTCATGAAGGGTGGGGGAGATGGCTCCTGGGGGAGCAGCAGGTGGGGTCAATGTCCCTTACGAAGATGAAGGGGCTCAAGAGGGAGCGCAGGGAGGCCGCTGCTGCCAGAAAGAAGACCACGCAGGACGCCCCGACTCCGACCAAGGGGGGCGATGGGAGAGGAGGGGGGGAGGAGAGAGGGGGGGGGGAGGGGGCCGATGGCAGTGCTGGTGGTGCTCAAGCAGTAGAAACGGCAGTGTGAGTGGGTTGGGGCAGTGGGTTGAGACCGTCCCTGCTAGTGAAGGAATGGATAAGGGGCTGAAGAGGGGGCGGAGGAGGGGAGCAGCTGGTGGCTGTGAGGACGAAGGTGAAGCAGGATGGTCCTGCCAATGGGGGAGAGGGCCAGGTGGGAGAGGGGGCAGAAGATATGCCAAGTGTGGCTTTCAGAGTGGCAGGCTCGGCCCGAACCAGACACCTTGACTTCCGAGGCTATCTCGTGGTGCCTTTGGACTTGGTGTGCCGAGAGTATGGTGGTATTCTTTCCCCGCTTAGCTAGGGTCTCTCCCTTGCTATCATGAAGGCTTTCATATGTGTTAGGATGCTGTCAATAAGGTATTGCACGCACTCTCCTTGTACAACTCGTTAGCTTTGGCATCATTGATCATGATGAAAGTACCGTAATGTCAGTCAAATTGAGGTACTGTACCATATGCATGCAGTTATCTCATTCAGGTGCCATGACACCATTGTAATGTGTGGTTTATTGAGGCACAACCGGTATGGCTGAACAAGATGTTACACCACATTATCTAGACATGCTTTTGCTTTAATGCTACAGTATTATTCTTAGCCAAACTTAGGCATGCCATAACCCCACATGACAAGCGACTTGTTTGGTTTATCGAGCCACAACCTGTGGTTGAAAATGTCCATATCATCTGCCGTAGCACCCCCGCATCTTGCCGATGCTGCTAAGATGACATCAGCGTAAGAGCACACAAGCCTGTCAAGGATCGCCACAACACCTGTGAGAGAAAACGAGGAATGAAGGTGGGTGGAGGAGCGAGAAGGGCACTTGGTCAGAAACAGCTAGAGCACCTAAATGAGGCCATATACCGGTACCGTAAATTTGAAAAGAATTGCCACCACACAGATATATTCACTCCAGAGAAGAAGGGATAAGTGGGGTTGAGTGGTGATGAGAAGGGATAAGTAGGGTTGAGTCAAATTGAGTAGGGATGAGTGGGGATGGGAGGGGATGTATGAAGAAAAGTGGGGATGATTGGGAATTCGTTATAATAAACATCATTCAGTGTTCCAAATCACCAGGGTCAAATCTTGCGACAGCTGGCAAGAGCTCGTCGATCGTGACGGTGTTGTTGATTTGCTCTCGCATCCACGTCAGCTCCTTGACTGCCACGTCAGCAACACCAGTGCCATTGCTCCTCCCGCTTTCATTGCTCCCATTGCTCTCATTGCCCTGTTTGCTCTGAATCGCAAACTGCTGCTCCAGATCTCCCCAATGTGCTGACTCTCCTTCTCCTTCTGCTGTTGCTGCTACTGAGGCTCCTTTTTCTGCTACAGATGCTACAGCTGCTACTGCTGCTGCAGCTTTGGATACCCCTGTATCAAACACACTTGACCCTTTCCCTTCTTTTCCTTCCCCCGCATCTCTCCGCCCTTTACCCTCGCTGCGTCTCCTCAGCACATCAGCAGCAACAAACACGGTTCGAACTGACACCCACTGCTGAACCACACTTGCTTTAGCAACGGACGCATTCACACACCACTGCACCTGCTGCTGGAACTGCCGCTGCAGATGCTGTTGCTGATCCTCTGAGCCTGGCGGCTGTTCCGAGCCTGGCTGCTCAGAGCCTGGCTGTTCCGAGCCTGACTGCTCCGAGCCTGGCTGCTCCGAGCCTTGCTGCTCCGACCCTGGCTGGTCCGTGCCTTCCTGCTGCCCTGCTGAAGCGTTTGCTCTTTGCTGCTCTGCTTCTCTCTTCTGCTTGGCATGACAGGGCAGTGGGGAGAGGCGGGTGGTGGGGAGGGCGGGGAAGGGAAAAAGAAGTGAATTTCCAAAGATGCTTCCTAACCCGCTCAACGTGCTTTGCATGAAGAGGCGGTGGGGAGGAGGGGAGACGGAGCATGCGGAAGTGAGGGATAAGTGAACGTTTTCAGACATCTCAAAGTCCAAATGTTTTGATACGTCTCCAAGTTGAAGGGTTTTCAGATGCTTCGAAGCAAAGAAGGTGCTCTTTTATCCTTCCTCCTGTTTGGGAGAAGAGGACGGGGGGGGTTGGGGGGGGGAGGGAGGGAGGGATGGAGGGAGGAGAATGTGTTGAGAAGTCTCATTCCTGAGTTTGCTCTTTGCTGCTCCGATTTCTTCTGCTTGCGGTGACACGGCACAGGTGGGGAAGAGAGGACGGAGGTGGGAGGGGGAGGGGAAGGGGGGAGAAGTGGAATGTTCCGAGAAGCCTCCAAAATGACTGGTTTCCTCCTTCACTTCTCAGCTTCCCCTGTAGCTTGTGGAAGAGAGGAGAAGGGTGGTGAGGAAAGAGGGGAGATGGGGTGGGAGATGGCATATTGCAGAGCTTTCCCAGAGTGTTTTCTGCTTCTTCTTCCTTCCTGCTGTTTTTGAGGCGCCTCAAAGGTGGGAGATGGCATATTGCAGAGCTTTCCCAGCTTGTTTTCTGCTTCTTCTTCCTTCCTGCTGTTTTCTGCTGTTTTTCCTTTCTTCTCACCCAATTCCCTCTTCTTTCCTTTCCTTCCTCTTATCTTTCCTTCTTCTCTCCTCTCCTTCTTTCCTCGTCCCTACTTTATGCTGTGTGCTTCCCCTCTATACCCTCGTTCCCCCAGATTCACTCTCGCTCTTTCTCCTCTTTTCTTTCCCAACTCACCACTCTCCAGGCGATCACGTCGGGATGCAAACGCACGGCCATCACAGTCTTATTAAGAGTACCGAGCAGGCTTGTAGCGAGTACATGCAGCTGCCTGCTGTAGGGCAGAGATTCCAAAGCGAGGCTGCCTGTGGGAGGATCGAACTCGATCATGCCTGCTGCTGTCTTCAACCACACCACCACATCCTTGTCTTGCCTGCGTGGGTAAGAGGGGGAAGCAGCATGAGACATGAGAGATGAGACATGAGAATTGGGACATGTGAGTTGCGGGGTGGGAAGCGGTTGAGAGGGAGGGGGTTGAGAACTCGATCATGCCTGCTGCTGTCTCTTCACCCACACCACCACGTCCTTGTCTTGCCTGTGTGGGTAAGAGGGTAGGGGAACACGAGGCACGAGAGATCAAGATATAAGTGAGGCCTGTGGGAGGGTCGAATTCGATCATGCCTGCCGCTCCCTTGACCCACACCACCACATCCCTGACTTGCCTGGATGGGTGTGAGGGTAGCGGGGCATGAGTCACTACAAGGAAAGGGGAGGGAAGTCCCACGAGTTGTCTGAAAGGTCGGTACTTCCTTCACCCCACAGAAGACTGAACTGAGCAGAGCCTCCTTGGAGTCATCATACATGCAGCACATAGGCTCCTACTTACCAAGCCTGCAAACCAGGGTCGGGTTCGCCAGGCCTGCATAAGTACTTGCACGGCATCGGCTCACACTGGGAGGTGCAGGTCAAGTAGTGTCGTTAAGCTTCCCTGACAGCACATATGGTAGGCTCGGACTGACCAAGCTTACGAAGGAGGCTCGGACTCACCAGGCGTGCATGAGCACTTGCACGGCGTCGCCTCGCACTGGGAGGTGCAGGTCGAGCGTGTTGGAGGGGAGAGGCACGTGGCCCATGGCGTATGGCAGTAGATGACCCATGATGGATGTCACGGGTTCTGATGGGAACAGAAGTGGGGAAGGGGGGAAGGGAGGGAGGGAGGGAGGAGGGGGAAGGGAGGTGCAGGTCGAGTGTGTTGGAGGGGAGAGGCACGTGACTCATGGCGTATGGCAGTAGATATCCCATGATGGCTGAGAGGGTCTCTGGTGGGAACAGAGAGGTGGGGAAAGGCGGACGGGAGGGAAAGAGGAGGGAGAAGGAGGTGCAGGTCGAGCGTGTTGGAGGGGAGAGGCACGTGGCCCAAGAAGATGGCCGATCATGGCTGATAGGGGCTCTGCAAGGTGAAGGGGGAGAAAGAAAACAAAAGGACGGGGTAAGGGGGGCGAGGAGGAGGGCAGGGAGAGTAAGGAGGTGAGATGAGAAAGGGAGTTGAGAGAGAGTGTTAGAGGAGAGAGGCACGTGGCGCATGGCGTATGGCAGTAGATGGCCGATTATGGCTGATAGGGGCTCTGGAAGAGACAGGAGAGGGGAGGAGGGGAGATGGGGAGGAGGGGAGGAGGGGGAGGGGAGGGCAGGGATAGGAAGGAGGTGAGAGTGTTGGAGGGGAGAGAGGCCCATACATACAGGTCGATACAATGGAAGGAATTCTCAGCACAGACGAAGCAGGTGAATACAAGCCAAGGCAAGGCAAGGCACTCACTCTCTGCTCTGCTTTTGAGTCGACTCAAAAGCAGTCTCAAGGCTTGCTGGGTGTGCCGCGACTGCTTTTGAGTCGACTCAAAAGCAGAGCAGAGTCGACTCAAAAGCACAGTCGACTCAGAAGCACAGTCGACTCAGAAGCACAGTCGACTCAAAAGCAGAGTCGACTCAAAAGCAGAGCAGAGTCGACTGAAAAGCAGCACTCACCATGGAGAAAGGGGGCTTGCTGGGCATGCCGCGACTGCACCCACACAAACCCCACCGCTGCCTGAGATATCTGCAGTGGTACTGGCCAGGCAAACAGCTCAACTCCATTCCACGCAAAGGGAGGCACTCACGCACTCACCATGGAGAAAGGGGGCTTGCTGGGCGTGCCGCGACTGCACCCACACAAAGCCCACCGCAGGGCTTCTCAGCCCATCAACGCCCGAAACATCTGAAGTGGAATCCGAGCCACTGGTATCAGAGCCGCTGGTTGGGGGAGAGGCAGCAGCAGCAGCGCGGGCGAGCAGCAGGAAGAGGTCCGGGGACATCCAAGCCACTTGGGGCGGGTTCGGCAGCTCCCCAGGAGATCCAGAGGCTTGGGAAGCAGTGGGGGTGTCGTTCTTGGGCCAGTACGTGAATGTGAGGTTTTCAACCATAGGCCTGGCGGCCTGGGAGAGGTTGAAGAGGTCCCAGTAGGCGCAGAGGGGGAGAGGGCGTGCGAGAGAGACGTGACCGTTGCCCACCTGAAGAGCGACAATGGTGAAAAGAAGGGGGGGGAAAGGGAAGGGATTGGAACAGGGAGAGAGGTGTGAGGGCATGGCGGCCTGGGAGAGGTTGAAGCGGTCCCAGTAGGCGCAGAGGGGCAGAGGGAGCGCAAGAGAGAGACGTGACCGTTGCCCACCTGGAAAAAGGGATAACAGGGTAGGGATAAGAGGAGAGGACTGAGGTTGAGCATGGCGGAATGGGAGATGTTTGAGAGATGCCAGTAGGGGCAGCGAGGGGAGGAGGGTTTGCGAGAGAGACGTGACTGTTGCTCACCTGCAGAGTGAAATGAGTGAAAAAGAGGGAGGTGTGTTGGCCTGTGTGCGTGCAGACAGGGGTTCTTTAAGCAACACACACACGCACGCACGCACGCGCACGCACACTCTGCCAGCACTGTACCTTAGGCAGCACGAGAACGAGCCCGTGGGCTATCTTCGCTGCCTCCACCACATCCAGCTGCGCGTGGGTGGTGTGTTTGTGAGCGAGTCTTGGCAGTGCTTACCCCCCACACCTCCCCCTTCCAACCTCACCCTCCCCGCAACATACACCATCTCACCTTGGGCAGCACGAGAATACGCCCGGACATGTGGGCTATTCGCGCTGCCTCCACTACATCCATCTGAGCGTGGGAGGAGTGTTGGCCTGTGTCTTCAGCAGGTCTGGTAAATGCTTACCCTCCCCTTCCCCTCCCCTTCCACAGGCAACACCGTACCTTACGCAGCACGAGAATGCGCCCAGACATGTGGGCTATCCTTGCTACTTCCACCACATCCATCTGTGCGTGGGTGGTGTGTGTCTGTGTGCATGTCTCAGCCGTGATTAACCCCCCCAAAACTCACCCTCCCCACACACACTGCCAGCATCTCACCTTAGGCAGCACCAGAATGCGCCCGGACATGTGCGCTATCCTCGTGACTTATGAGTCGACTCAAAAGTCAACAGCCAGCCATCTCACCTTAGGCAGCACCAGAATGCGCCCGGACATGTGCGCTATCCTCGTGACTTATGAGTCGACTCAAAAGTCAACAGCCAGCCATCTCACCTTAGGCAGCACCAGAATGCGCCCGGACATGTGCGCTATCCTCGTGACTTATGAGTCGACTCAAAAGTCAACAGCCAGCCATCTCACCTTAGGCAGCACCAGAATGCGCCCGGACATGTGCGCTATCCTCGTGACTTATGAGTCGACTCAAAAGTCAACAGCCAGCCATCTCACCTTAGGCAGCACCAGAATGCGCCCGGACATGTGCGCTATCCTCGTGACTTATGAGTCGACTCAAAAGTCAACAGCCAGCCATCTCACCTTAGGCAGCACCAGAATGCGCCCGGACATGTGCGCTATCCTCGTGACTTATGAGTCGACTCAAAAGTCAACAGCCAGCCATCTCACCTTAGGCAGCACCAGAATGCGCCCGGACATGTGCGCTATCCTCGTGACTTATGAGTCGACTCAAAAGTCAACAGCCAGCCATTTCACCTTAGGCAGCACCAGAATGCGCCCGGACATGTGCGCTATCCTCGTGACTTATGAGTCGACTCAAAAGTCAACAGCCAGCCATCTCACCTTAGGCAGCACCAGAATGCGCCCGGACATGTGCGCTATCCTCGTGACTTATGAGTCGACTCAAAAGTCAACAGCCAGCCATCTCACCTTAGGCAGCACCAGAATGCGCCCGGACATGTGCGCTATCCTCGTGACTTATGAGTCGACTCAAAAGTCAACAGCCAGCCATCTCACCTTAGGCAGCACCAGAATGCGCCCGGACATGTGCGCTATCCTCGTGACTTATGAGTCGACTCAAAAGTCAACAGCCAGCCATCTCACCTTAGGCAGCACCAGAATGCGCCCGGACATGTGCGCTATCCTCGTGACTTATGAGTCGACTCAAAAGTCAACAGCCAGCCATCTCACCTTAGGCAGCACCAGAATGCGCCCGGACATGTGCGCTATCCTCGTGACTTATGAGTCGACTCAAAAGTCAACAGCCAGCCATCTCACCTTAGGCAGCACCAGAATGCGCCCGGACATGTGCGCTATCCTCGTGACTTATGAGTCGACTCAAAAGTCAACAGCCAGCCATCTCACCTTAGGCAGCACCAGAATGCGCCCGGACATGTGCGCTATCCTCGTGACTTATGAGTCGACTCAAAAGTCAACAGCCAGCCATCTCACCTTAGGCAGCACCAGAATGCGCCCGGACATGTGCGCTATCCTCGTGACTTATGAGTCGACTCAAAAGTCAACAGCCAGCCATCTCACCTTAGGCAGCACCAGAATGCGCCCGGACATGTGCGCTATCCTCGTGACTTATGAGTCGACTCAAAAGTCAACAGCCAGCCATCTCACCTTAGGCAGCACCAGAATGCGCCCGGACATGTGCGCTATCCTCGTGACTTATGAGTCGACTCAAAAGTCAACAGCCAGCCATCTCACCTTAGGCAGCACCAGAATGCGCCCGGACATGTGCGCTATCCTCGTGACTTATGAGTCGACTCAAAAGTCAACAGCCAGCCATCTCACCTTAGGCAGCACCAGAATGCGCCCGGACATGTGCGCTATCCTCGTGACTTATGAGTCGACTCAAAAGTCAACAGCCAGCCATCTCACCTTAGGCAGCACCAGAATGCGCCCGGACATGTGCGCTATCCTCGTGACTTATGAGTCGACTCAAAAGTCAACAGCCAGCCATCTCACCTTAGGCAGCACCAGAATGCGCCCGGACATGTGCGCTATCCTCGTGACTTATGAGTCGACTCAAAAGTCAACAGCCAGCCATCTCACCTTAGGCAGCACCAGAATGCGCCCGGACATGTGCGCTATCCTCGTGACTTATGAGTCGACTCAAAAGTCAACAGCCAGCCATCTCACCTTAGGCAGCACCAGAATGCGCCCGGACATGTGCGCTATCCTCGTGACTTATGAGTCGACTCAAAAGTCAACAGCCAGCCATCTCACCTTAGGCAGCACCAGAATGCGCCCGGACATGTGCGCTATCCTCGTGACTTATGAGTCGACTCAAAAGTCAACAGCCAGCCATCTCACCTTAGGCAGCACCAGAATGCGCCCGGACATGTGCGCTATCCTCGTGACTTATGAGTCGACTCAAAAGTCAACAGCCAGCCATCTCACCTTAGGCAGCACCAGAATGCGCCCGGACATGTGCGCTATCCTCGTGACTTATGAGTCGACTCAAAAGTCAACAGCCAGCCATCTCACCTTAGGCAGCACCAGAATGCGCCCGGACATGTGCGCTATCCTCGTGACTTATGAGTCGACTCAAAAGTCAACAGCCAGCCATCTCACCTTAGGCAGCACCAGAATGCGCCCGGACATGTGCGCTATCCTCGTGACTTATGAGTCGACTCAAAAGTCAACAGCCAGCCATCTCACCTTAGGCAGCACCAGAATGCGCCCGGACATGTGCGCTATCCTCGTGACTTATGAGTCGACTCAAAAGTCAACAGCCAGCCATCTCACCTTAGGCAGCACCAGAATGCGCCCGGACATGTGCGCTATCCTCGTGACTTATGAGTCGACTCAAAAGTCAACAGCCAGCCATCTCACCTTAGGCAGCACCAGAATGCGCCCGGACATGTGCGCTATCCTCGTGACTTATGAGTCGACTCAAAAGTCAACAGCCAGCCATCTCACCTTAGGCAGCACCAGAATGCGCCCGGACATGTGCGCTATCCTCGTGACTTATGAGTCGACTCAAAAGTCAACAGCCAGCCATCTCACCTTAGGCAGCACCAGAATGCGCCCGGACATGTGCGCTATCCTCGTGACTTATGAGTCGACTCAAAAGTCAACAGCCAGCCATCTCACCTTAGGCAGCACCAGAATGCGCCCGGACATGTGCGCTATCCTCGTGACTTATGAGTCGACTCAAAAGTCAACAGCCAGCCATCTCACCTTAGGCAGCACCAGAATGCGCCCGGACATGTGCGCTATCCTCGTGACTTATGAGTCGACTCAAAAGTCAACAGCCAGCCATCTCACCTTAGGCAGCACCAGAATGCGCCCGGACATGTGCGCTATCCTCGTGACTTATGAGTCGACTCAAAAGTCAACAGCCAGCCATCTCACCTTAGGCAGCACCAGAATGCGCCCGGACATGTGCGCTATCCTCGTGACTTATGAGTCGACTCAAAAGTCAACAGCCAGCCATCTCACCTTAGGCAGCACCAGAATGCGCCCGGACATGTGAGCTATCCTCGTGACTTATGAGTCGACTCAAAAGTCAACAGCCAGCCATCTCACCTTAGGCAGCACCAGAATGCGCCCGGACATGTGCGCTATCCTCGTGACTTATGAGTCGACTCAAAAGTCAACAGCCAGCCATCTCACCTTAGGCAGCACCAGAATGCGCCCGGACATGTGCGCCATCCTCGTGACTTATGAGTCGACTCAAAAGTCAACAGCCAGCCATCTCACCTTAGGCAGCACCAGAATGCGCCCGGACATGTGCGCTATCCTCGTGACTTATGAGTCGACTCAAAAGTCAACAGCCAGCCATCTCACCTTAGGCAGCACCAGAATGCGCCCGGACATGTGCGCTATCCTCGTGACTTATGAGTCGACTCAAAAGTCAACAGCCAGCCATCTCACCTTAGGCAGCACCAGAATGCGCCCGGACATGTGCGCTATCCTCGTGACTTATGAGTCGACTCAAAAGTCAACAGCCAGCCATCTCACCTTAGGCAGCACCAGAATGCGCCCGGACATGTGCGCTATCCTCGTGACTTATGAGTCGACTCAAAAGTCAACAGCCAGCCATCTCACCTTAGGCAGCACCAGAATGCGCCCGGACATGTGCGCTATCCTCGTGACTTATGAGTCGACTCAAAAGTCAACAGCCAGCCATCTCACCTTAGGCAGCACCAGAATGCGCCCGGACATGTGCGCTATCCTCGTGACTTTTGAGTCGACTCAAAGGTCAACAGCCAGCCATCTCACCTTAGGCAGCACCAGAATGCGCCCGGACATGTGCGCTATCCGCGCAGCTTCCACCACATCCATCCGAGCGTGGGTGGTCGGTTTGCCTGAGAAGCCAAGCACCAGGAAGCGAGGGCGAGAGGGGCCCTGCGATGGGTTGGGCCAAGGGTTGGGGGGAGAAGGGGGGTGAAGAGGGAAAGGTGGTTGGTGTGGTACAGGCGAGCGTGGGTGGTGTGCGGGTCTGTAGCACCAGGAAGCCGAACACCAGGAAGCGAGGGCGAGAGGCGGCCTGTAGCACACACAGGAAACAGGGGTGGGGGGGGGAGCTGGGCGAGATAGATGGAAAGGCGGGTGGTGTGCTGGTCTGCAGCACCAGGAACCCGAACACCAGGAAGCGAGGGGCGAAGGATGGTCTGTAGCACGCGAGGGCGAGAGACAGCCTGTAGCACAGGGAACAGGGGTGGAGGAAATGCGGAGGTGGGTGGTAAAGGCAAGAGCTGTTAACGTGCGGGCCTGAGATGCTCAGCAACGGGACGTGAGGGCAAGAGGTTTCCTGTGGTGGTGTGGTGGTGGGTGGTTGTGGTGGTGGGGGTGGTTGTGGTGGTGAGGGGGGGTGGTTGTGGTGGTGAGGGGGGGTGGTTGTGGTGGTGAGTGGGGGTGGTTGTGGTGGTGAGGGGGGGTGGTTGTGGTGGTGAGGGGGGGTGGTTGTGGTGGTGAGGGGGGGTGGTTGTGGTGGTGAGGGGGGGTGATTGTGGTGGTGAGGGGGGGGTGATTGTAGTGGTTTGGGAATGGCGAGCGAGGTTCCGAGAGCATGCACGGGTTGGGTTGGGGCAGAGGAGGGACGGAAGAACTGAACTGCGGGTCACACGCACGGGACCCAGGGAGAGAAGCGCGAGGGGCAGCAGCACTCACGTACGTGTGAGAGGGAAAGAGGCACACCAAAAACCGGCCAGCAGCTTTCAGGCCACTGCTTGCATTTCTCTTTGCTCCCGCCGGTCCCGCCACTCCTACCATTCCCATCACTCCCACCGCTCTTATCGTCTGCGCCACTCCCATCGCCCCCGTGACAGCCGTCCGCCTGCCCTCCCCCCACCAGACGCCTCTCCATCTCCTTCACTCCCCCACACACTTCGTCTATACCCGCCACGATGCCCTCTATTCCCGTCGAATTCGCCGCTACAGCCGCTCCAACGCTTTGAGGCGTCTCTACGCTCGCCGCTACAGCCGCTTCAACGATCTGATTCGTCCCTGAATTCGCCGCTACAGCCGCTACAGTCGCTCGGATGTAGCTGCTGCCGGCAGCGCGTGCCAGCACACCGCGTTTCCAACCCCCCGAACACACCTGCCCCACCCACCCTGCCTGCTGCTCTGCCACGTCAGCCTCGGTCGGAGGCTCGGTGTTGTTCTTAATAGGCCCGGTGGGTGGCTCAGTAGTGTTGCTAATAGCCGCCGTGGGTGGATCGGTGGTGTTGTTAGCCTCGGATTTAGGCTTCGTCACTTGCACCTTCTCCTCCTCCCCCTCCTGCCCCCCCTGCTCCCCCTTCTCCGCCTGCTCCCCGTTCTCTCCCTTCTCCGCCCCCGCCTGCTTCCCCTGCTCCCCACTCGTCCCCTGCGTCCCCTGCGCCCCCTGCTCCGCCTGCTGAGCGCGAAGGGCCAGCCGTCGAAAGGCCTCGAGGAGGCGTGTTCGACACGCGTCTAACTCCACCACACTTCCGCCCTTGGATCGACCGGCTGCCGTGCTGCTGCTACCAGCGGCATCGGATGTCTTCGTGGCGTTTGAGTCGGCGAAAGAGCTGTTACCGGCGAAATCAGGAAAGCTGTTGTCGGCCCTTTCGCGAAAGAGGCGGAGGCAGGAATCGGAAATCCCGAGGAGGCTTATAACGGGTATCCATACGTCGCCATAAGATGAATCTCCAATCCGAGAAGTAGTAGCGCTAATAGGAACACTAGTAGTGCTGCCGCTGCTACTACCATAAAGAGCACTGCTTGTTCTACTGTCGTCTACTAGCGCGCTCGGCGCTGCTTCGTTATGGGCTTCCTCGATAACAGCGGTGCGGGGGATGCGGAAGGAGACGGGGAACTCGATGAAGAAGATGACGTGGCAGGCGAGGAAGAGCGCGATGACGACGATGGCGGGCTTGTGAATTGCGGAGGAGAGGAACGAGGGGAGGCACGAGGGGAGGCACGAGGGGAGGCACGAGGGGAGGCACGACGATGATTGGGGGGACGTCGTAGGCAGGGACGGCGAAGGCAGGGACGAGGGGAGGGACGAAGGCAGGAATGACGGCAGAGCTGAAGGGAGGGACGAAGGATGAAACGACGGGAAGAAGGCAGGCAGGATATTGGGAGGGTGGGAGTGAGGTCTCTTGATGAGCGACGTCGTCTCGCCCGTCGCATCGGTCGCCCGTGCGACGGATTCACCGTCGCTCGCGTCCATTTCGCTGCGACGGAACGCGGGACGAGGCCAGTAAGCGAAACGGTCACGATACGGACTACGGCAAGCGGCACTTCAGTTCACCGACGGTCTAGCTGTTGAGTCGTCTCAAAAGCACCATTCGTTCGACGAAAGCGGCACTACATTCCGACGGTCTGCGGCATTACAGAGCTCGTCTGGGTAAGCAGAAAGGGCCTTATCGACAAAGATTCTGCGGACCCGCCTGCAGAACAGCGCCTTGGTGTGTACACCGCGCTGTTGTCACAGGGGGTTGTCAGACTCGGTGTAGCATGTAAGGTATGAATTAACTATGGGGCATTGGTGGGCTTTCTTTATGCTCCTTGATTCTCCCACATTGGCACCATTTTCTGCGTAAACATGAAAAACGTTCTGAAATAATACGGTAGCATGCAAAGGCTCTTAAGAGTTACCTACAAATGTAAATTTTAATGTGTACTATTGAGCAAGCAAACAAGGAGTGCACAATTATTGCAAGGGGTTATAAGTACAAGGAGAGACTGCATAAGCGAAGGCGAAAGTTTGGAACTGTATTGTCAAATTGTATATTAATGTGACACATGTTAGTTTTAGGATAAACTGGATTGTTCTTTGTCAAAATGTGATGTTTGTCTAGCCTGCAGTGGGGTACTCTATAGCGAGTATAGCCCAAATTAGGGATTGAGAAAGCTTGCTTCTGTCGCAATTGGCATCGTTCTCATTACAATGGGTTCAAGTACAACAGTTCCTAGCAGTTATACTAATATACTATCACATCCAAAATGTCTAAGAACTACTACTCTCATAAGCTGACTAGCCTGGGGAGGGTGGGTGGGAATTGAACTTGAGCGATTGTAAAATGAGAGACGTGGGTGGGGGAAGAATGACCCCAGCCCACATTATATATTCGGAGAAGGCGAATACCGCGCTTCGACGATGCACAAATTGCGTTACAGTCAGCTTCGCTTTCACAATACGCAAATTTGAAAGCGATAAAACGCTTAAAATTTTTTTATTTTGCTATATGTACTCAACTGCCTGCTAGTGAAAATCTCTCATTCCTGTTTCTAGTTCCTGCCTAGACTTTCGACATGCTATCAGAGCAGGTCGACCCTCCTGGGTCGATCCTGTGGGTGGTCCCGCCCGATGCTTCCGCTGCTGTCCTGCCTATCGCACGCCCTGCGTGCGCGATGTTTTCTGTCTGCCGCGCGCTCAGAGCGCGCGGCGGTTTCCTGCCCCGTCGACCCGCGCGTCGCCCCCCGTCGACGGTCGCATCGTCCCCCGGGAGCCCGTCGCGTCGCCCCGTGGAGCCGCGCGCGGCCCCCACTGCCTCGTCGCGACGCCCTGGGGAGCCGCGCGCGGCTCCCGCTGCTTCGTCGCGGTGCCCCGGGGAGCCGCGCGCGGCCCTTGCAGCCTCGTCGCGACGCCCTGGGGAGCCGCGCGCGGCCCCCGCTGCTTCGTCGCGGCGCCCCGCGGAGCCGCGCGCGGCCCCCCGCTGCCCCGTCGCGGCGCCCTGGGGAGCCGCGCGCGGCCCCCAGTTGCCCTGTCGCGGCGCCCTGGGGAGCCGCGCGCCATCCCCCGAGCTGCTGCCCGCGCACCGCCCCCCCGCTGCTGCCTGTGTTAGGGTTTGGGGGTGGCGAGTGTGGGGGTGGCGAGTATGGGGGTGACGGGTGTGTGCGCCGTCCCCTGCTCCTCCTCCTCCTCCTCCTCCGTCTCCCACTGCTGCAGCTACTGCTGATGGGGGTAGATGTGTTGGAGCTGTCGGAGTGGTACAAGGGGGGTGGCGTGTGAGCCGTGCTAGGGGTACAGCAGGGAGTGTGTGAAAGGGGTGTGGGACAGTTGGGGGAGGTTGACCGGAGGTAGCCGTTGTGACGTCAGCAGCGCCAGTAGTCCGGGGGTTGAGTACTCCGGTAGCCCAGCGAGCCTGCTGCGCTAGTCTCCCGTGGGTCCGTTGCTCCTGCTGCTTAGAACGGAGCCAGTTACTCCTGTAGTCCGGAGGTTGAGTGCTCCGGTAGCCACCGTGCGCGCCGCTCCTGTTGCCCGTGTGACTGCGGCTTCACCCGTCGCCTTCTATCTCCACTCCTCTCACAGTCTCTCCTCCTCCTCACTTGCCCTCTGTGACTGCCTCTAGCTTTGTTTGTATTTGTGAACATGCTCTATGACTGCTTGTTGTGCTGATTATACCCCACTTTGACTATGGGGGTGTGTCAGAATGTGATGTTTGTCTAGCCTGCAGTGGGGTACTCTATAGCGAGTATAGCCCAAATTAGGGTTTGCTATATGTACTCAACTGCCTGCTAGTGAACATCTCTCTTTCTAGTTCATGCCTAGACTTCGACACTCTTTAGTGAGTACCACAATTCCGCATATTAGGGTTTCCTATTGGGCAATTACCTCCGCAGTAACACTGGTCGAGCTCGATCGCACGCGAAGTAAGCCACGTGTCCAAATCGTAACAAAGGTATCTTCTCATCGCCACCGTGGTAACTAGCATGGCCACGTGGTCAACATTAAAGCCTGAGTGGTAATGAACAGTGCCTCCAGGATTTCTGCTGATAATTGTCAGAACAGTAGCTAGAGAGTTAGAACAGCAGAAGAGGGGGTTTGACTATCAGGCAGGTGGGATACAAGTAGGAAATTCTAACAGGGTTGTACTCATTACATCATACCCCACTACAGCCTACATAATATCATATTCTGACACACCCCCATAGGCAAAGTGGGGTAAAATCAGCACAAGACGCAATCGCAGAATAAGTTCACAACCACAAGCTAAGCTAGAGGTAGTCACAGAGGGCAAGTGAGGAGGAGGAGGGACTGTGAGAGGAGTGGAGATAGGAGGCGACGGGTGAAGCCGCAGACACACGGACAATAGGAGGGGCGCGCACGGTGGCTACCGGAGCAAGGGCCTCGGACCACAGGAGTAACTGACTCCGCAGCTTAGACGAGCGGCAGGAGCAACGGACCCACGGGCGACTGGCGCAGCGACTGGCTCACTGGGCTACCGGAGCAAGGGCAACGGACTACTGGCGCTGCTGACGTCACGACGGCTACCTCCGCTCAACCTCCCCCAACTGTCCCACACCCCTTTCACACACCCCTTGCTGCACCCCTAGCTCCACTCCCACGACACCCCCCTAGTGCCACTCCCACAGCTCCCACACATCCACCCCCCTCAGCGGCAATTGCAGCAGTGGGAGAGAGAGGAGGAGGAGGAGCAGGGGAGGCCTCACACACCCGTCACCCCCATACTCGCCACCCCCACGCTCACCACCCGCGGGGAGGAAGAAGCCTCGCGGCGCACGGGGGCATGGGGCGTTGCAACGGTGCCGAATACCATTCTTCTTCAGCCACAACCCAAACTCCTTGCTCAGGAACTCTCCCCCTCGATCGGTGCGGATCGACTTCACAAGTCGGTCTTGTTGCCGCTCCACCATCGGGAACCAATCCGTCTTCAACGTTTCAGCAACGTCGCTCTTCTTGGCCAGCACATACACCCAAGTCATGCGGGTGTAGACGTCCACTATGGTGAGGAAGTACTCTGCTCCAGCAGCTCCAAGCTTCAGGGGGCCCACCACATCCATCACCACCTCATCAAGTGGTGCCTTAGCCGTTGTCTCCGAGCTCGAGAACGGAAAACGGGTGAACTTGGCTTGCAAGCACGTCGGGCAGCCAAGCACCTCATCGGGCTCCCCCTTCACACGTATGCCAGCAACCATCTGGTTCTTCACTAGCTGCTGCAAGATGGGTAGGGCCACATGCCCCATGCGCCGATGCAAGGTGAGCCAATCACACTCCCCCGTAGCCGAAGTCGGATTGGAGAATGCCGCACTCGCAATAGCGCCCCACATACTCTCTCCGTACTCCTCCTTCGCTGCTGCCTCGGGGTTCTCCTCACCCTTGTGCTGCTTCTTGGCTGCTTCATCACTCTCCTTGGGATCACACAACTTGCTGGTCCCACCAGGTTTGCCCTTCTTGGGCTCCTTCTCCTTAGCGCGACCGTCCGTGCAATCGCCGCTACCAACCGCGTCACCCTTGGTGCTGACGCTTGCTGCCACTTGCCTCTCCTTAGGCATGGGGACCACAGGGATCTGCCACATCTCGTTGTAGACATCCCTATCCTCATGAAGGTCCCAAAGAATCTGGTCGCCAATCCTTGCGGTGTAGGTCTTGGCTCCCTTCGAGTTCGTGTCCATGCCGGCCTTTGCCAATCGCCGCACGGAAATCAGGTTCGCAGCAAGGCTGGGCACCCAAAGCACGTTCTTGAGGCCCACCATCTTCCCATCAGCACCCTTAAACATGGCCTTGCCCATGCCTTTCACCTCTGCTCGCTGCCCCAAAGCCGATGTGACATGCTTCACCGGTGACGGCTCGAGTTCGGTGAGCAAGTCGGGGCGAGGTGTCATGCTGTAAGTAGCACCGCTATCGATCACCCAAAAGTCCAGGGGGTGTAGGGTCACCTTCCCCACAGCTGCTGGCTCCTCAAGGTCTTCATCCTTCTCTGGACCAGCCGGTACTTGCGTCGACACGAAGTAGAATAGACCCGGGTACCGATCGTCCTTCGAGTCCTTCTCGTTATCTTCGTTCTTCATGTTCGCGGCTCCACCTCCGCGACCGCCACGGCCTCCACGGCCTCTGCCTCTCCCTCCTCCTGCTCCTCCACCCTCTTGGCCTTGAGCAGGGGTCCGTCCGTCAGGGAGTTTGAAGCAATCGCGCCACATATGTCCGCTCTTGCCGCAATAGTGGCACTCGCCATCGAATCGGCCGCGACCGCGCCCGTAGCTCTTGTCATCGCTGCCGTATTCGCCACTTCCGCGGCCACCTCCGAAGTTGCTGCCACCAAACCTTCCTCCCCCTCTTCCTCGGCCATATCCACGGCCGATGCTCGCTGCCCCAGCGCCATCCGCACTCGCCAACTCACGGCGGCGGAAGTCCTCTTGTAGGATCGCGCGCTTCACGTCTTCAAGCGAGAGACGGGGCAGATCACGGTTCAAGTTGATGATGAG